TGGCTACGACTAAATTGGGGAGAAAATCGGGGTAAAAGGATCTCAAAGAAATATAGTGATGTAAATAGATCACAAGCTTTGCTAAGTTACTTCCTGGGACAGGTGACCACATCCTCACCTCTATGCTATGTTGTTTGTCATTAAATTAGTTCATATTATTTCTTCTTCGTTTTATGCAGCTTTTTTCACACATTTCAGAATCATCTACATTCATACCTGAAAGTCATACTCAAAAGACCCCCAGGTCAAATTACATGTTTTGTTGATTTTATGAGTCAAAAAAGGTGAAAGTGAAAAACACGTCCTCTGTGGTGCACAAACTTAAATATGGGATTTTTCTGTAAAATTTTTGTGCTGAGATTAAAATTTTTTTGTTTATGACTGTACAGCTCTGTTTACCATTCCGAACACTTCTAACATGTCTTAATCTGTTTGTAGCTTCATAATAGTTAATTAAAAGCTGTGATTTTGCACAGGATGAGCATATTAGAATCATTGTATACTTTTATCTAAAACCAGATTAGTTATATATTGTTTAAAACATTGATTTCATCATGTTGAACAAGTAGTGTATATGTAACTTTAACCCTCTGGGGCCAACAAACATGCTTGCGTGTCAAATTAGATGTTTATTTATGTTTTAAATAATGTTTTGTGAGAATACTGTGCAGAAATACAGTTCAAACACAAACATAGAATGAATCTGAATCAGTTTTGGAAAGTAGTGACAAATATCACTTTTATCTACTATTTCATTTATTCATTCCTCTACTTCTGTGAGCCTAAGACTTTGATAAACTCATTTCAAGCACCAAAACATTTTGTCCACATGAGTAAAGCTAGGTTTTCTCAAGAGATATTAAGTGTTTCTAAAACTGGATTTCATTTTTTCACCTTTTGGGCCCAATCATCTCTTCACCCAGTGCTCCAGGTCAAAAAGGGCCTCATTATAAAGAGAGATTGTTCTGAACATTTTGATCTATAACATTTAGGTATCATATCATATGCAAGTGCCTTTAAAGGCAAATTTAAGAATATATGCAAAAATCAAGAAGATGCCCTCAGACCCCAGAGGGATAAGACTGAAGTTGATCCTATTAGCAAACTTTTTAAATTAGATCACAGAAAATTATAACATGGAATGGTTTCAAATACACTGCCTGATGCCTGAGAGCTTGATTTCCAGTAGTTTTGATGTAAGCTTTTAGACTAAAATGTAATTTATTAAACACATTCATGGTGGAGGGATACATGCTGGGTGTTGAAAGGCAAAATAGTCCCCAAAGTTTTTTTTTGTTTGTTTTGTTTTGTTTTGTTTTAGATTGTCCACTTTTTTGCCATCATCATCTTCACATATAAACACTCAGAAGACATGCATAGGTTCACTGGTGGTTTTGAATAGTAACAGCTATATTTATGCTTTAGATATTGTGATCCCTAGTTTTAATCACCAACACTGTAAAAAAAAATGTTTCTCTACAGCAAACCATTATATAAACTCAATGGCTTTGTTTATATCTCACAGATTGGATTATGCAGACATTGAAAAATCAGTTGAAAAAGTTAATTTTATAATAATAATACAAATTATAATAATAATTTAGTTCTTGGCATAATAAAAGTCTCTGCATTCGCCCTTCTCTCTGCTCACACACTCATCTTCCTCCTCTGTGTTCGGAGCCTGCTAACCACCAGCGCCATTTTGCATTCTAGTGGCTGTTTTGTTTTGCTCTAAATGGGCGAGAAGGCGGAGGGAGCCTTATGAATATCAATGAGTCACATCAATCCTTCAGAGCCTCCCCGGAACATGACAGACGTCTTTCTGCTGGAGTTTGCCGTCTAAACTCTGCTCAGGGAGAACAAAACGGAGCCAAAATGCACAAAGCGGATCAGAATATTAACTCAGATTCTCTCCATGCTAATTCAGAGGGTATTGAAAGTCTTTTTTCCTTCAACTGAAAGTTTATTTTCACATCTGAGCTTTCATTTGGCAATCAACTCACAAGTGTACAAGGATTTAATTGGAACCACAAGTTACAACCATGCCTTCCTATGAGCACTTATTTGTTTTTCTAGCAGTCAAATTATTTAACGGTAAATTATGAAACACTTGAGTCGCGCTGCTGTGAATTGCAGCTGTTTTTATTGTGCTGGCTTTTTGTGCTAATTTGTATCAGCAACTGTTGTGTGGCCAGTATGTTTCCTCTCTTTGTCACAAACAGTATTTTCGTCTCATTTCACTGCTGCTGTGCAGTTTACTGTCTGCTAGTTCATAGCTAATGTAAATTGGTTGATGGTTGAGTTTTTATGCTGTAATGCATGAAGTCCTGCTGTGGGCGAGCTCCGGTATCACTGGGTAGTCGTGAAAACATATACACACATAGCTTAAAGCCCCAGCAGGTGGTTTCAGAACAGCTAAGTGGCCCCTTTAAAACACTGCAACACTCTATGGATGCAGTAACCACAGAAAAGTGTTTTTGTTTGTGTTCGCACTGCTGAAAGTGGCTTCTGGGGCCAAATGGTTGTGTTGAAACAATAATTACTGCATGACGGTTTTAATACATGCTCTTATAAATAAAGGCGTCAAAAGGGTGGCAACAGAAAAACCACGTTTAGCTCCCTACACTCTCTGAAAAAAGGTACTAAACGGTCACTGGGGCAGTGCCCCTCTTGTCACTGGGGTGGTACCATCAAAGGTACATCTCAGTACCTTTAGTCAGGGAACATAACTGTACCATAATCCACTGAAATTATATTCTCTAAGCTGTACTGACTCCACACACCCCGTCTCGTCTCCAGGTTTTTATTTTATTGTTCTGTTTTAAAACATTCGATTATGAAAAGGTACAAATACGAACTGTTGTAAGAAATGGTCCTATATAGAACACTCAAAGAACACTTTTGCATGATTAAAGCCTTCTTTGCATTGTGAAAGGGATCTTTAGATTTATGGAGAATCTGCTGTAGATGGTTTTATATAGAACCTTTTTGAAAAGGGTTCTATATAGCACCAAAATGGGTTCTACCATTGTCACAAGCCAAATAACCTTTTTTTGGTTCTATATAGAACCTTTTTTGCTAAGAGCGTACTCCACATTTTAGATGTCCGGCTTCAGGCTTCTGGACAGCTACACCTACTTTAAGACATCAAAAAGGGTTCTCCTATTGTTACGCTGTCAAGCTTGTCACAGTAGAAGAACCCTTTTTGGTTCTCTTTAGAGCCTTTTTAAACCCTGTAAAAGGTTCTGTATAGAACCATCTACAGCACATTCTACATAAAGAACATTTTCACCTTGCAAATAACCCTTTATTCATGCAAAGGGTTCTTTGAGTGTTTACAGTTCTATACAGTTGGTTCTGTACCACATTCTTTAAGTATGTACCATAAACTACTCAACTGTTATCAATCTAATGTCACCACTATCCAAAAAATGCAATGTTATGTAAGTTACATATTTATGAGAGAGAAATTGAAGTGTGGACCAACTTTTCACCTGGAAAAAACTTATTTAAGGTTCACAACTGGACCTTAAAACCACTGTTGTACCTTTGAGGGAACATTTGCATTGTTTGTACCTTGATGAACAAAAATGTACCTACACAGAACCTTTATTACTAACAGTGTGAATCTTTCAATGGGAAGGAATATGTTCATTTTGCTGTATTTAGAAATTTAGAACAGAAACGACACTTTTAAAATAAGTCAAAAGGGAGAAAAGTAAAGTAGTGCTTTGAAGAAAGAGCCATTAAAAAGTTCTGTAGGGATCCGAACGCAATTCTTCTGTGGCTTCACTGCAAAGAACTGTTTGGGCACCTACAGTATTTATTATGGCTTCCATTCTTTTCTGGAGACTCACTTTCAGTTCCTCAAAGAAATCTACAGACACGCCTCCAAGTTCAGTGGGTTGTATTTTCTGTGTTTTATAATCCCAAATTTAGGTTTATCAGTCTGCAAAACCTTACACTCTAAATAATGGTTCTTCAATGGTTCTTTAGTACAGAAAGTTCTGTATAAACCCATGAACATGGAAAGAGGTCTTTGCATGATTAAAAGGTTCTTCGCATCATGAAAGTGTTCTTCAGATTGGTGAAGAATGTGCTGTAGATGGTTCTTTGTAGAAGCTTTTCGAAAAGGGTTCTATATAGAACCTTTTTGAAAAGGGTTCAATATAGCACCCAAAGGGTTCTTCTATTTTTACAATGTGAAGCTTGTTACAATAGAAGAACCCTTTTCAAGAAGGTTCTATATAGCACCATCTACACTCTTAAAAAATCCGGTTCTTCAAGGTTTCTTTAGTAAAGGTCCTATATAGAACTATGAACACTCAAAGAACACTTTTGCATGATTAAAGCCTTCTTTGCATTGTGAAAGGCATCTTTAGATTTATGGAGAATCTGCTGTAGATGGTTTTATATAGAACCTTGTTGAAAAGGGTTCTATATAGCACCAAAATGGGTTCTACCATTGTCACAAGCCAAATAACCTTTTTTTGGTTCTATATAGAACCTTTTTTGCTAAGAGTGTACTCCACATTTTAGATGTCCGGCTTCAGGCTTCTGGACAGCTACACCTACTTTAAGACATCAAAAAGGGTTCTCCTATTGTTACGCTGTCAAGCTTGTCACAGTAGAAGAACCCTTTTTGGTTCTCTTTAGAGCCTTTTTAAACCCTGTAAAAGGTTCTGTATAGAACCATCTACAGCACATTCTACATAAAGAACATTTTCACCATAAACTACTCAACTGTTATCAATCTAATGTCACCACTATCCAAAAAATGCAATGTTATGTAAGTTACATAGTTATGAGAGAGAAATTGAAGTGTGGACCAACCTATGGACCTTGTGGACCCAAGAGTCCAAATGATGGTCTAATGTAGGTTAAATGGAGTTAAATTAGAGAGTGTATGTGAGTTAAATGGAGTTCAACAGTGACTGTTTATTACATGTCTTAAAAGGCTTGATTGTGATAGAAATGTCTACTCTCTTCTATCTATGCAGAACCAGTTTGCATATCAGGATGGCAGTTTTGGTATGGAGGAGATGATGGCCACCATACCTAGAGTGGTCGCTGTATCTGCGGTAACCCCATCCTGTTCCTCCCAGGAGGCATCAGCAGCCCAGCAGAGCGCAGCGGCGCCCCCGGAGGACCCGCGCTGTAACGGCACCCTGAGGAAACAGGCCACGCCCAGGCTCAGCACTGCAGAGGACAGCAGTGGTCAGCGGTACAGCACTGACCCCACCCTACTACTGGGCGAACGGGCAGCCAGGCCTGACAAAGACCAGGACGGATACATGAGCGCAAAGAAGGACAAAAACCCCTCAGGTAATACTCCACACCTAGACTACTGGTGTAGGCACCACACCTGACCTGGGAGGATACAGGTTCTAAGATTGACCAATTAACCCCTTTAAAAAGCCATGTTTTATTACACACTTCTGTAACCTAAGAATAGCTCCATTAGTTTGGATTGAAGGCCCTGTAGATACTGAATAATAAGACTTGTATGAAATAAACCTGGAATGTTAAGGAGTTTAACCTCTGAAGTCTAGAGTTAGTACTTTTGCTATATTATTTAACTGTAATTATTACATCATTAAATACAGGTTTGCAAAAAAGAAACCCTGTTCAAATTACATATTATATAATATATTATAACTAACTAGTGGGTGGAATAGGATATGGCTAAATTAGGGAGAAAATTGGTGAAAAAGCAGAAAAACCCCAAAACTTATTGTCCCTTAGAAAATCAACAAAACATTTCATTTGGCCAGGAGCGCTCAAACTTTTGTATAGAACTATAGGTAATGTATTACATAGATTAACATTGGCTTTTGCATCAACATATTCGCTTTTATTTTAAATTAACAAAAACATGTAAAGAAAAATTTAATAGATGTTTCTGTAAAACAATAAAGTTCAATCAAATTTAAATCATAATAAAATATCTTCTCTTATATATACAAACCCAAAAGTGGCATCAATTAATAGTTTACAATCTGCACATTTGACAGAATTCTTTATCTTGTTTCAATGAGCTACAAGTGAGAAAGAATTAAGATAATATTTCATGCTTTTCTTATTACCAGTGATATCTGTGACTTTTAAGGGTTATATTGTGTTTGTGATACATTATCAACGGGTTTAAGTTGGTTTGTAGCTTGTATGTTTAATTTCCCCGTAAAAGAGAACAGTTATGAGCTCGACATACAGTTTACACTTTAATTTGTCTTTAAAACATTATTTTCTTTGATGAGGTTAAACTCATCAACATTATAAATGCCAGTGGCACATGCATCTTTCCCTTGAGTGTTATTGACTTGAGTCTTTCTTTGGTCAATTCAAGTTCATTTTAGCAATCAGGTGAGAAGTACTGTAGCTCAGTAACGCAGGGCCCATAGCACTCAGGCCTCTGCAGCTCCCGAAGGTCATATAAGAAGCCCACAGGAGAGGAACCTGTGAGAGATCAATGATAGGTATCTCTGTACCTCACAGCACTCAGAAGAATGATAGAATGATTTCACGGTTCTCTTCTCTTCTCTTCTCTTCTCTTCTCTTCTCTTCTCTTCTCTTCTCTTCTCTTCTCTTCTCTTGTCCTTTAATCTTCTCTACTCTTCTTTAATCCTCTCTTCTCTTCTCTTTTTTCTCTTCTGTTATTTAATCTTCTGTACTCTTCTTTAATCTTCTCTTCTTTTCTCTTCTCTTCTCCTGTCCTCTCTTCTCTCTTCTCTTGTCTTCTCTTCTGTCCTTTAATCTTCTCTTCTCCTCTCTTTTCTTCTCTTCTCTGTCCTCTCCTGTTAGATTATCTCAACCCTGTGGAGGAGAACCCATTCGTTACCCGCCGCAGAAATGGAGAAATCCATACACTGGACCCCGGTCACCACTCTGCCTCCAATGGCCATCCAAAGATGGAGGACGAGTATGTGAATGACCCTCTCTATCTCAACACCTTCCATAACTCTGGGGAGAAGAGCCAGGAGGCTTTGCGGAAGAACGGGATACCTGTGGCTCACACAGCGGCAGCAGCAGCAGCAGCCAACCCTGGAGCCTCCAGTGCCCAAAACCCTGCCCACAGTGCCCCCTCTGGTCACACACATCTCCCAGCGCAGCCCATTTATTCTGCCCAACCGGGCATCCCAACACTGTCTGGGCACACCCTTCATCCTTCCCATTCAGGACACCCGACGCTTACCCTCCACCCAGCCCACTCTGGCACCATCATGGCTGATAAAAAGCCCAAAAAGACATTTGACAATCCTGAGTACTGGCAGCACAGTCTTCCACCCAAGGCCACTCTTCACAACCCAGAGTACCTGCAGGACTGCAGCACCCGCTTCTTTTACCGACAGAACGGCCGCATCCGGCCAGCTGTGGCCGAAAACCAGGAGTACCTGACCGAATATGCGCTGAAACCTGGGACAGTGCTGCCCCCACCACCATACAGGCAGAGGAATACAGTGGTGTAGTAGATGGAGGAGAGGGGGAAGAAATAGGATGGAAGAGGAGGTGACCCATGGTCATTCATTCACTCATTCATTCATTCAAACCTTTATTTAACCCCTTAACTCGAGATGTATGGCTTATTACTCAGTTATTATCCAGTAACTACTCAGTAAAACACTGTGGAGCCTCTATGTAAGGTAGAAAGTTACAATAGAGAAGACTAGAAGTCTTAGAGTTTCAGGAGCTCAGAATATGCTGAGGGATCACTATTATTTAACAAAGTATGTGATGGTATCGAGTCAAAGAATTAAAGCAATCAATGAAGCGATAAAAACAATGAGATTATTAAAGCAACAAGGTAATAACAGTGACATAAACTGTCAACTTAAACATTTAAAATCTGAAAGTAATTGGAAATTTTACATTTAAATACACCAAAACAACACAAAGTGAGATTAACTTTAGACTGTAATGTAGCATGGTTCATTTTACGAGTGCTCATTACCTAAAACCAGATTTTCGTCATATTCTCACCACTGTATCCTCACCCTTGATCTCGCACCAGCACTATTCACCTTCTCCTTCCCTCAGTTCCTCTCCTCTACCAACTGGGGTTCAAGATCAACCTTCAGAAGTCTACTCTCCAGAGCGGGGTGCTGTAAACAAGACGTGCCAGTCAACCCATCTTCTTTAGTGCAATCTAAAGGAGGTGCTAACCCCTCCCCACCCTCATCATGTGCACATATCATGGTTACAATGGTGACCTAACCTCCTGGACTTAGCATCCTCTGATCACACTCTGCCCCTCACTGGGCGTATCCATAACTGGAAGGCAAGTAGATCCTCTTGAGAGACACCTTTGACCACAAAACAGATGGCACGCCATGGACATTTGTTACAAAGAGCAACAAGCACTGGGCTGCATCCATATGGGCCAAACTTGGAGATGGGGGAGGCCTCCTTCTGGACTTCTACACTGGTTTTGTTGGGCATTTTTCTTTTGCTGTAATCTTTGTGTTTTGGCCGTCTGTGCAAGGTTACACCTCTGGACACCCATACATTGCTTACTAATAGATGACCTCAGTTGAGAGCTGTGTATTGCAACTTCTACTACAATCTGTAGACGCTCCACAAACCCATGTCACTCGTCCCAGGAGGGGACGTACATGCATCACATCTCTCATTGCATTCCTGACACATTCATTTAGTCCCTCCGGTCACTCGCTCTGTGTTTCTCATTACATAAATAGCACAGGAGTCATTTTTCACTCATCCATGTGCAGCCATCTAAATTGCATCAATGCACTGAAGGTCCATTGACCTTCTGTTTGGCTCCCACATTCAGAAGTGATGTAACAGTGCAGAACCCCATGCATCTCATTCATACTTGCACACAGGCGGCCAGTTCCTTCATAACTAAACTTGGGTCCACAGCACAGGCCGGAGAACATAGAGGAGCGTGTGATGGCTACAGGATATTCTTCAAATACTGTGCTGCAAAATTATGTTTTTTTACAGTCCAGCCAGCATCAATTATGATCAAACAGAAGTGTGACATAGATATAGATATATCTCTTAAAGGATATGGATTGCACAAGCTGGATCTACCTAAATGTTGGTGAATGAACTTTCATAATGATGACCAAGGCACATACAGATGGGGCAGCTTGCATTCACCAAAACGGAGCAGGGTGTAAATGTGTACAAACCTATGGAGATGACACAAAGGCCTCATGAGTGCCCTCTCAGACACTAGCGCAGTCCAGAGCAATGGCTGCTGAATTATTATCACGAGGCATATTAAACGCTATTATGATAGTCCATCAACCAGGGGGTCAGCCAGTGGCACACCATGGGACTGGCTATGGATGGAAAGCACTAGCTGGCACACACGTCTGCCTGCAGTCATTAACGCTGATCTAGAGGAGCGCAAGGGGGGCAGAAATACTGTCGTGCCACGAGGAACAAATGAGGAAGTGAAAATAGAACATTTGCCCTTAGGCCCCAGACCTGTCTGCCTGATATCAGTCTTCTCCCTGCCGGACTGTCCTCCGAAAAAAAATGAGAAATTTGGAGAAATCATACTTTCTAAGTTTATATAATAAGGTGTTGTTTTCTCACAAGCGTCAAACGTCATAGGTAGAAGAAAATCACGCCATCCAAATGTCCGGCCAGAAAAAAAAAAACACATGTAGTTCTGAACACTGCCAGGCGTTATGATTCGCTGCTAATGGAGGGTCTTATGTGGAAGTTTTTTTTAAAGCACTTAATGGTCTGGCACAGTCAAATAACGTATCTATTTCCTACAACTAAGACTGTTGAATACTCATTTGTTTAAATTCTGTTCTGTCCATGTTGGTAGAGAACAGCCAGCCTGCTTGTGCCGCACCATGTGTTCTGTGTGTTCTATGATTTTTTTTTATTTTTTTTGCTTTTTTTCCTTGCTAATGAAGGTTTATGTTTATCGTATGGCAGGGCACGTTCAGCTGTTTTGTACACACAGATTGAGTTCAGTGCAAAACTAATGGGGAATCTCTGTTGGCAGCTCTCATTAGTCCAAGACTAAGCTTAATCTGTGAGTGGAAAAATCAGCCCTGGTGGTTCAACACAAAGACTTTAGCACATTTTCCATTTCTGTAGGCAGATTTGGCAAACGGCAGTGTCACTTCTGTGCCGAGAGTTGAAATGTACCCAACAGACGTTACTTAAATGAAGTATTTATCTTAAGCATTGCTTGCTTTAACCTTCAGAGACCTAAACACTAATTTGTTGCTGTAGTTTCATTTTTTTTCCTTTTAAACTGTTCATTGGAAGCTACTGACCCCAAGAAGTGTGATATTTTAACATATTTTGCTTTGAGGTAGATTTTGGGGTTTTGAAATTCACAGTCATATGAAAAAGCTTTGATGTTGTTGGAACAAAACCTTAAATCTCTATGGTTTTTATTCATTCTTTAGAGAATTTCAAAAGTCCAGCTTCGCTTTACATTGTGTTAAAATGTAATGATAAATGGAGAAATAGAAATGTTCCAGAATTGCTTAGAAAATTCTTGTCTTTTACTTTTCATTCAAAAGTTAGAAACGTTTTTCCTGTCCCTGTAGTTACCCTTTTGGATATTTGAGGCGTGGTTGCAACACTGCAATTTTCAAATCTCAAGATCTGCAATTTTTATTATAGTTTTGCAGTCTGTAACCACCAACATTGATTCCATGTAAAAGTTGTAAGTACGGAAATTTTGCCTAATAACATGGAGCTTGTGAACTGCTGTGACATCACAACCACAAACAAGTGGCAGGCTGGCGCACTGTGTTACCACTTTAAGTCTCAAGCCAGAAAAAATATACGCTGGTCATCTTAGCCAAAAAAAAGCCCATACCTCAATTTATATCTCAATTAAAATCAATTGCATTTAAATCGTAGAAAAAATTAGAAAAAATGTAAAAATGTGATCTTTTGCCCAAATCGTTTAGCCCTAATATATATCGCTGTTGTCAGAACAAAGCCTTGTATATCCATTTTTGTCGTTTTCAGTTTTTGCCATAATTTGAAAATACCTGTTATTTGTTACACAAATACCTGTTGTTTATTATATGTTACCCACACTAGGGGGCAGTGAGCACACTTGCCCGGAGCAGTGGGCAGCCCTATCCACGGCGCCCGAGGAGCAGTTGGGGGTTAGGTGCCTTGCTCAAGGGCACTTCAGTCACGTCCTTTTAGCTCAGGGGATTGAGCTGGCGACCTTCCGGTCACAAGGCTGGTTCCCCAACCTCCAGCCCACGACTGCACCTCGCGTATCCAACATGATTGTTCTGTGTTGTTCTGACAGCAGCGATATTTTATATATGTATATATATAGTTGCAGTTCTTATTTCAGTAACCATTATGAATGAAGGGAAAACATATCACAGGTGTTATATTTGCTTGAAATATTGCCAAATTTGCTCCAGAACACACAGCATGGATATCAGTAAGAAGCAGACATGTTGTTTGAATGTGGACTGTTGGCTTGTATCATTTTAACAGGCATTAATAGCGTGCTTTGAACAATTCTCTGAGGGTCTCTGAGGGTTAAAATGAAGTCTGCTTTCCAACTGATCTCTAGCTAAAACTCATCTGTGCTGAGGTTCTCAAACAGAAACGCCAAATTGCTGTGTAGTCCCAAATGATGTCATGGTGTAAGAAGCTGAATTATAGTACAGTTCGCCTATAAAGATCTTAAAGAGATGTAAGCATCCTGCACAGGCACAGGTATATTTCATCTCTCAGCACTAATTATTATGGTATTGGTTCATGTCTGTGTGGAATAATTGATGCCACCAAACTGAACCAAGGCCTGATAACTACTGTCTCTGTGTGCACATTTGCTGTCAGACTCTTTTACTGTTAAAATGAGGCGAGAAGGATATCTCATATTTTTTTTTAATATAAACGGGAGATAGACGCAAGAGAAATGAAACTTCTTAAGATTAAAATGAAGACGCTACTGTTACCTGCAGGATGATATTAAAGGTACGGTTGGCCGTGGATTCTGAGAGGGATGAATATTACTCGAAGGTTATAAGTACAGTCTAGTAATACACGACTTTAGTTGTTTTTGTTTTTGTTGAGTAGTGCCCATGTGCCATACCTCATACGCAAAGCATAAACATTATTTTACTTATCATACCTTTAAACATGTGCATCACATACTGCAGCTGAGAAGAGGCCCGTCAAGGTGTCAAAACTGTACAGTATGTAGCAAACACTGTGGATACAGGATGGATGAAACCCTCCTTAAACTAACAAGCAGCTAAGCAAGGAACGTCTTGACCAAAACATGGGAAGAGACCGAGAAGTCTAGCAGGAGCTCGTAGCCACTAGGAGTCTTTTCCATGCTGAAGTGCTTTGCACTGAAGCCGGTATCGTGGAGGTGGGGATTACAGTACTACTTCCTTCAACAAAAACCCAGAAAGGAGGATTAACGTTTTTGGACTTGATGCTCATTATTTCTTCTTTGAGGTGAAATCTGATTTTCAGACAAACCTTTTGGAAATGTGACCACTGTAAATATTATCTGGGGGTTTATTTTTGGTTCTGGGAGGATTGCAGGATGTTGAACTAATGTGAAGGGTTTTTTTTATTATTTTGTCTGTGTTATTTTACACGATTTTCCTTCTGAAAGATGATATGTGGAGTAATACCTTACATTGATTAACATCCCCCAGCTTCTGCAAACACTTACTGGGACTTATTAGCTCATAAGACATATAAATGGTTTAGTTATATATTTGAAGGACGTTGACCTTAAAAAGCATATATGTGAAACTTTATTTGACCTGTATTTTAATGCAATAAGCTTAACACACATAGAATATTATACAGTACTCAGCATAGACCTCTAAGTTGGTGCATCATTTTGTGTACACCATTAGGCCCAAATAAAGAACTCTTAAGTCTAAGCTGTTTTTCTCTATGGAAAAAATGAATGGCATGTAAAAATTTTGGCCTTTATCGCACACTATGGTAAAGTGTGGTAAAGGCTTAAGTGAAACTAAATTACGAGGTCATTAAGTAATCAAAACATATTGCTCCATTCAAGCAGGCTAAATGTCCTGTGCATTTAACTGACTTACATTCATATTTATGGTATTTGGCAGACACTTTCATCCAGAACGTCCTACGGTTTAATCATATTGCACGGGTTGGTAAACTAGGAATCTTACAGGTATAGCATGACATTTTTTCCCACACGAGGTCCCCAGTCTGCCACATGGAGGACAACTGTGTTACACACTATGTTACGCCAACTATCGTTAAGTTACATTAAAGAATAGCTGCTACAGTAATTCTAAACTACTTTAACACTATGTGGCAGTCGTCTACCCATGGGCACCGTCAACAGCTGCAAGTGCCTGAATGCCCAAGCTTTGCACGCTAAGAGCCGTGAGTGACAGTAGGAGGAGAACGTCAGCTGCCAAAAGGGGAGGGACGATGACAACAGCCACTAAAGGCATGAAGGCAGGGCGCAAGTCCCGAACTTGGCCACCCAGGCCCCGCCTGTGTCACAGCGAGGACACTAGACTTCACCTCACGTTCGATCCAGGCAGCTAAGCTGGGTAGTGGGGGCGGTGACAGGGAGGAGGAGCAACAAGCTCTGTCCCTCTTGGCTCAGGTTCTCATGCTGACGTCCTCCTCCTGCTGTCACTCACGGCTCTTAGCGCACGAGGCTCGGGCACCGCCTTCCCGTCCTCTCTTGCGGCCATTGCTGGTGCCCGTGGGTCGGCTGACTGCCACTCACTATTATATAACAACACCAGCTCTCCAAAATATAACTTTATGTTTATATTTTTCTCATCTTCTCTTTTTCTTTTCTTTTTTTTTGGCTCCAGACGTGTACACTCCTTTTCAAACATGATTAACTAGTTGCTTTCCCCCTCACTCGGGCATATTAGACAACATAATAGTGCTGTAATAACCCAAAAGTTGTTTGGGGGGCCACAGGGGCCCTAATCAGCTGCTTATGTTGTAGAGTTGGCACTGCTTGTAGACTAGTACTACCACACTTGACAAAGCTTGCTGGTTTGCATATTGTATTTAGTTGAGTTTGCCAGTCTTTTGATGTCAATTTTAGCCAGTCAAAATCATAAAACGTTTTGGATTAGACAGTGTAGAAGCCCAAACTCTTTTTTTTTGTTCTCTTAAATTTGCCCACATTCATATTTGGTCAGTTATGAAACATGTATATCTGCACTCATCATCTTGAAAGGCCAGTTTTCGGATGAAAAGTGTTTCAAATGGACACTTCTGTGCTGCTGAACACTTTCATCTGCTAGCAAAAGTGTTACAGATGATACTAGTTTGATGGACAGGGAGGCGGGGCCGTCTTAGAATCTTGCATACAGTCAGTTAAATGCACAAGATCACAATACATAATGACTATATACTTCAAATGATGTGATATTAGGGGTGAAAAACATGCATAAAGGACAAAACACAAGCTTGAGAATTTGTTGGTTAACCACAGGAAACTACAAGTGTGATTTTCTACAACGCCATTCATTTTTCCCACAGGGAAAACCAGCTTGGCTCATCTGGATGCGAATGGTGAACTACAAAATGATGACATGACATGACAAGTCTATTTCCCTCTACAGTGGCAACAGACAAATAACATTTATGAGAGTCTTCCTCACATGGAATCAAATCAAGGGGGAAGGTTGTGTATTTGCAGCACATTTTCGACACACTGTTATTAACGAAAGCCAGTCTACTGATAACGTTTTATCCAAATCCACGTATAAAGTACTGATTTATATCCAGCGCTGCCACCAACACTTGAACGAGGGATGCGCCAAGCACTGAATTTCGCAGGGATTGGGTTCAGGTTTAACGTTCATGTGAGTGTAATTTGTCTCTTCTGATGTATTTACGGTAAATTATTCCACTCGTGTCCACATACTCAGAACCTACAGAGAGACAGAGTAAGCACAGTTTACACGCCGATCATTCGTTTTATATTACAGCAACCAGTTAAGGGAAGGCATCACTCTTCCTGAAACACTAAACCTTTTGGAATGGTTGTTTCCTCGCGATTTTACTACTGTTAACTGAGAAAATGTGAATAGTATTTTTATAGATTGTTGAAGAATTGGCCAGGTGCATTTGTAAATAGATGGGTATCTCATGCTCTTTTGGACTGCAATGATTTTGATTTTGATTTCTTTCGGTTTACTGCGTCTCACTTCGTCTTTGTTTAACCACATTGTGTGTGCGTGATCAGTTATTCCTCTTTGCTTTCTGTATATATCTGTAATTTGAACAGCACATACTTTCTTTGTAGAGCTTGCAGGTTTTTTGTAGTGCCCTGATGTGATCCTTGTGACTGTATTTAGCACAGCTTTGGTGGATCTTGTGTTCTTTAACCTCTGCCCTTTTGCTCAAGTGGTGGGAGATTATTTTCTTTCTTTCTCTCTTTCTTTCTGTCGGGTATAACCTCCCTCGTATCTTTATTTTTATCTTTTGTACAGAAATTCCCGCTGTAAGGGTCGGGGAGTCAGGCGCCCTTTTGCAATACTGTTCAGTTCCCCTCGGTGTGAAGAGAACTCGGTTGCCAGACATTTTCTTTTTCCCAGACTTTTTAACCATGCCGCGGTACAACATATATAGTTCTTCGTCAGTACCTATAAGACTTCACCCCTCCATGCTGCTTTCACGGGTCACTTCCCCAACCTACGCTGCCCTGAGTCCATATTTGTAAGGCCTGTCCAGTAGTGCTTGGCGATATTGATGACATTCAGTATCCCAAGATTTTCCAGGTTTATCATGGTATCAGCTAATATGTGAGTGTGCATTAACCCTTAGAGGTCAGAAAGTCATAGCATTTGAGTGTAATTACACAGTTACATAGTAGTTACAAAGTAATTACATAGTAATTACATGTGATTAATCCATATGAACAATATTACAGTTGTTTTAATGTCAAATATGGCAGATTTAACAAATATGACAAATATTTAAATTTTGCTTTTTCTTTCTGCAAAGAAAGATTGTGCACATAACTTTTTGTGGCCATAACAATAATAATAACAGACAGAAACCAGATTTGTAGGATTGAAAGCGCATATATATATATATATATATATATATATATATATATATATATATATATATATATATATATATATATAAATATATATATACTGGTACAGTTGATCGCCCAGCACTACTCTCAGGGTAAGAGTGTTAATTGAGGATCAGCTGCTTATAGAATCATATTCATACAGATGTCAATGGCAGAAGCTGACTCTAAACCAGCACTGTTACTCTATGAAATGTGACCCTGTATGACCTCAGGGCTGCAATACCCATCCCAGGACACTATTCTGAGATGTGGCTGCGGCATGGCAGTCCGCTCACATTAATTGCCCTCTAATGGCTTTTCTCTGAGAGATTAATGTGTCGTCGTGTGTTATCCACTCTGACAAATTGACTAATTGATTGGACGGCTTGTTTTGCCACTTCAGCTTTGAGTGATGACTTGTCAGAATGGACTCTCGTCTTCTTTTTTCTTTCTCTTCTTTCTTTCTTTCTTTTTTTTTTTAAGAAGATAGGCACCACGGAGAGCAGTACAGTCCGTGGATGGGTTCTTCTTGCTCTCACCTGCCACCTACAGGCAGGATGGAGCCCAAACGCTCTGCCCCACCACAGGTCCCCCTCCTACCCTCAACAAAAAAGCTAGAGCATTTAAATACAGTTCCACAGTTTTGTTACATGAATCTGTCAAAAATATATTTTTAATTTAATATAAATAAATAAATACCAATACAGTATCTAAACCATTATGTGTATGTGTGATTATTATAATACTGTCCTATACACTCACTTTTGGCTTAGATGTTCAGTTCTACAAAAATCTTTGAATTGGTACCTTTAAGGTTCTTAAAGTTTTTAAATCTTACGGCGTTCTTCACACAATTCTATGAACATAGAAGAGTGCAATATGGCATCCCACAAGGCTTTGTTTTAGGGCCCTCTTTGTTATTTGCTTATTTATCATCTCAAATGGTGTGACAACAACTAAATTTGTGCTTTTCCCAAGATCTGTTTTTGTGAATTTGAAAGAGAAATGTAATCTCCATAATTCTTGATACTACCTCTGTAAATATCAATAAAAAGATTGATCTCTAAACAAAACTATCTATTGAAAGTTCTTTAGGTACCTTCTGTGGCAAAGAATGCTTTACTTTTAAAAGCGTTAGTCACTCTAGACAAAACTATCTGCCAAACGTAAAACTAAATGGATTTGCAACATGCAGCAACTGCTAATGTCTAATATAACAGCAGATTTTTTTCTGTTCTGTAAGTCAAAATCCATCAGATTTTTCAATTTTCCAGACAGAATGAATGCGCTGCTGCAGCTGTGTGGACCTGCCTGAACAGTAGTGGAGTTTAAGTGTGGTTAAATTCCCCCCTCTCAGTCCCGCAAAATCAGCCCTAATGGTTCTGAACTTTCACCAGCTCTCCAAATGGAGCACTACAGACTCTTTTAGCCGGACAGAAAGTGCTACAGTGTGGCATTAAAATTTAGATGGCTGTCAAATTCCCGCTGAACGCTCTCCATGGCGCACGTCCTGTAATCATGCCGCAGTCAGTTTTTTTAATGATAAAATGCCATTACAGAGGCCTACCTTCCATGCATGACACCTGGCAAAACCAGAATGTGGAGAGTGAGGAGGTTTATGGAGCATTTGTCAAATAAACCAGAATAAAACGACGCAAATGTCGCTCTCGCCAAACGCCCGGCTTTCGAGCATTTTAGCGTCTGTGGTAATTGCTTAATTGTGCTCCACAAATTAGCCAACAACTTTCTGCTTTTAACACCTGCTGCTCTAGTAGAGAGCAGCTACTGCCTACAAAATAAAGGCCACTAAAGAAACATGCCTAAATTTATACGCTACTGTTTCTGTCTTCTGTAAGAGCCTTCATCTTCATCTGACTAATCAGTAGGCCTGTTAGCCCAAAAAAAGAGGATGATGCATTTCCATCCACATGCCCTCATTCAGTTTAACAGCCACTTGTATCAAAGTAGAAGAGTCCTTGACGAAATAGAATGGGCTGGCATTCATCAGCTCATACAACAAGCATAGTTCAGAATAATTTGTAATATTCAGAGATGTCAAAATTTAGTGAGAAATTTCCAATTATCTTAAACCAAATAAAACTACGTGAACTATTGACTAGACAGCTTCAGTGAAAAATTTGATTAAATAATGGCATAATTGCAAATTATAACAGTTGTCACCATCTGATGGTTTAATAGAGGAGAAACAATAAAATATATCCATTAAAAACAAAACCGGAATGCAAGTGATTGATCTAAACTGGCACATGATGATTTGTATGAAGGGAATATGTATTAGAGAGTATGTGTGAGCATCTGAGGAAGCACTTCAGTGAAATAAAAGACACTAAGTAGCTCCTCAGTAGCAGCTTAACTACAAATTGGAGTTAATTATATATATTTGTAAAGCAAATTAAGTCAATTTGTGAAAAAATGCCAGATGCAGGCAGAGCTGGCAGCTGAACAGCACCCTGATGCCTTTCATTATTATGTGTTGTTACTATTAATGATGACTAGGGCTGTAACACTCGACTAATCTCAGTAATCAAGATTAACAGGGTATTAAAATGTGCTGAAGTCTGTTCTCTGTTTATTTTCACAAATCAATGAAAGGTGTAATTTGACCAGGGCTGCCCAAACTTTTGTGTCTATGCAGGTATTTGAACACCATTCGCTGGCATGCACAGCCATAGCGGTACTCACTACACCAGTGGTCACTAACCCTCTTCCTGGAGATCTGCTTTCCTGCAGAGTTTAGTTCCAACCTGCATCTAACATTCTGCCCTGCCATCACCTAACACAGATGCATCTGATCCAGCCAATCAAGTGCCATGTCTGAAATGGGCCCCTAATCACAATATCCAGGATTGCTATATAGAACACTGTTACAGGGAACAGAATTGGTGATGGTTGTAAATGATTTTGGACACTGTGTTTGCTTATTACTGTGCAATAGCAGATTACATCGCATAAACACTATAAACATCATGCAGCCAGTCCAGTACACCTGCTGAGTTTGGCTGCACACTCACTTCCATCTGTAACAGGTCTGACGCTGCCATTGTAGTAGCACTCGCTAATCCTACTCAGAGACGTTGTGTGAATCTTCAAACCAAATGACACTTTGCATTATGGGTATCCCCTATAGTACATCTGTTGTACATTACTTATTGTGCTGCACTGTGGATTACAAAATAGCAGAACTCCAAAATTGTGCGATATATAGTGAATAGGGCACAGTTCTTCTTTTTTTTTTAGGATTTTTCCCCAGTTTTCTCCCCAATTCAGTCATATCCAATTTCACCCACTAGTTAGGACTCCACCAGTCACACAATACCACCAAGCTATGAGGGCAAAGGCTAGTACAGGCTTCCTCCAAGACCTGTGAAGATACACCACAACTTTTCAAAGTGCCACTAACACAACATCACCGGACAGCCGAACTCGCTCTGAGGAAAGAACCAGCCTTCAGATCTGTTACGTCAGCTAACAGATGTCTGCGCTGACTAGCATCGCGCTGAGTGATGGGGTAGAGAGGGGGCCATCCTACCCACCCAGAGAGAGCGAGGCCAATTGTGCTCTCTTGGACTCCCGGCCACAGACGGCTGTAGCATCACCAGGGATCAAACATGAATAGCACAGTTTCAGACACAGCTAAGGACTTCTGAGGACGTTACTTAGCTGGAGCAGGTGTAGTAGTTGGATCTAGATACTACAAGAAGGTAGATCTCCAGAACCAGGGTCAGCTACCACTTCACTACACCATTTAAACACTCTATAGTATTTAGTTATAGCTCTGTTTGAGAGCTTTACGGAGTCTCGGTTAAATCTCTGTTTTTAATGATAATGAATATGCAGTGTGGTCATGTATGGTTATTGTTCAAAATAACTACATTATAGAATGTGAAACTTTCCTAAAGAGATTATCAGTGCATTATTGGTGGGATTTCCAGCACTGTGGTGATGTGTGGCAGGTCAGAGTTACTGAGGACATTGGATGCCCAAGAGTGATGGCTCTCATAGAACCCAAGCCAACCCCTTAGCTCTATTCCTGAGGTGAGACTATCCCTTAGGTTCAGAGAGATAGGGTTGCT